ACGGAGAACTACTACCGTCTGGCAAACCTGGCCAAGGCAGCGCAGAATTGGAAACAACAGAAAAAGCTAATTTTTTCACTCAGAAGACTCAGCAGCCGCAATCTCGCGTATCCAGCAAAACTATTGAAAAAAATTTGGGGCGCCATACAGTGAGCAATTTATGGATAAAATTATCACAATCATCGAACACTTTATTTTAGCGAAAAAGGAAAAACATCAGAAAAATCAATCTTTTCTAAAAATTTTCATTCGTGTTTGTGAGCATTTGGGCCGGCTTTAACATACCAAAACAACTCAGAGAGCTTTTACAAAACAAAAAGCAAGGCAGCGCGCTCATAAAAAAAACAGAGAACAATTGTAACTCAGCCGGAGCTATCTCCAGTGAATTTTGGACTAAAAACAGAGACGGGAAGAGGAAATCCAACCGAGCAAGTACATTTGACATAGCACCAGTGTTGACCCTAGGGGAAGTTTCGGAAATCCGTGTCCCGAACTACTGGCACTAGGTAGCGAGAGCTAAGGAACTTTGCCAGCTTAGTCCCAAGCACCTCATATGCAGATGTGGCAAAAAATACCACCAGCAGCCATGCCGAGGTCGAACCCAACGAGGAGGAGGAATAGTAGAGTTCCGAGAGCCAGACCAAAAACCTCTGACAACGACGACACAACTCGACGTAGCATCGGAAGATGACGCGTGACCTGCGATCTCGTCAGTCTTGTTCAAAACGACTTCAGAAGGAGCGAAGAAACAGACGCAGGTCTTCAAAGTTCCTCTCAAGGTTTTGTCAGAGAAATTTTTGAAAAAGAACTAATTCAGGGATTCCCGCAGTTAGTGAAAGTTTCGTCGTAGGAGATGTTGTCTTCTTGGCCGTCTCGTAAAACGACATCAATTAAAGGCAGACGTTTTGTCACTATAAAACCGAAAAAAGTGCTGAATAAAACTAGGAATCTTTTGAGTACTTATGATTTAAATTTTTTGAACAATATTTTTGTGGGTCGGGAGTGTTGATTCCTGACTGAAACAGTCTCAGTTAATTGTCAGTGTATTTAAATTGAATACCGTCGTTCATTCATGCTGCTTTTAACGTCCAATGTCAATTACCAACCAGTCGACTAATTTGTAGATCGCAAAACGTCAAAACTCATCCTCTGATAACTTTTGATGTTTTTTTTTGTCATTTAATTAAATTCAACTGTTTCGCATTCTCATTACTATGAACTGTTTGTACTTTTTTATTTTTAGACCTATAGACTTTAGTTAGAGTTTTAGGTTGAGCCACAAACAGAAAATTGCAGTTAAACTAATCCTTGCCAAATATATATTTATCAGAGAAGATTTTTAGGATTATTAATCTTCACAAAATATATTGAAAAAAGCAGATACAACATTAAAATTTCTTACTTTCTTGAAGCAGATATTTCAAGACACTCTAAACAAGGGAAGTCTGATTTTTTGCTAAGTTTTTTGTCGCTCAGAATATGCTTCATTTGACGAGAAGATTTTTCGTTAAATCAAAAATTGAAAGATGCATGAAAATCGAAAATCGTGTATGGTAATAATCACAAATTAATGATGAGCTGGCAAAAAGCAATGGTGTGCTAGCAAATTTTTTTGAAGCAATTTGTTTTCAGTTTCAGCAAATAAATTGCTCACTATCTGATTTTTCATGAGCTCAATATGAGACTGGTATACAGCTTATTTTTCTAATTTCTAATTTGTTTGAACAGGGTCGGATCTAGGATTTTCTCCGAGAGGCGGAGCGGATTTTCAAAAAAAATCTAAAATATTGTCCACTTTTTTTTTTTTCGACCAAATTGATTTTCCATGCTCGTACAAAGCACTAAAAAGACTCTGTTTTGGTCAAATTTTCTGCGCCGCAGAAATTTTTTTGAAACAACAGGCCCAAATTTTTCTAAAGGCGTCTTCGGGCCCAATATATACTAAATTTGAGGGAGGAGCGCGCGCCGAAAAAAAACAAGATGGTTTGGTCAAACTTTTCCAAAACATCTTTCAATTTTTGATTCATCCAAAACATGCATTTTTCAAATTTTCGATTTAACGAGAAAACTTTTCGTCAAATGAAGCATGTTTTGGGAGCGCCTCAAATTTTTTTTCGAAAATCTAGCCCCCTCGAGAAAACCCTAGATTCGTCCTTCCGCCCTTTACCAAAAGATTAATCCTATTTTAGCTATTAATAGGCAAATTTCCATTTGTTTGCTTTTTGCAATAACCTTTTCTGGATAAAAAATTAACAAAAAAACTATTAAGTTTAGGACAGTAGAAATTTCAAAAAAAAATATTGCTGAAGCTTTTATTGTTTTTTTTTAGATTTTTTTCTTAGGTTGGAGCATTCTGTGTTACTGGAAAAGCAGTAGGCTATTCTTGTTAGATTGAGTAATTGATGTTATGAAGGTATTATCAAGATTTTTTGACTTGATAGAATGTTTCTTCACATTTTTTTCATAAAACGGAAGGAAAAGCCTTTGGCTTTTGTCTCCTGAGCATGTTTCATTGACAACAATGGATGGGATATTTTAACTAGATTTAACATCACATGGGTATCATTTTGGTTTTAAAGTGTGGGGTGGTTCTCCAATAATTTGATCATTTTCATAAGGTAACCAAGAAGCTGATCTAATTGGATGATTTGCAGAAAAACCGTTCTTTTCATGAAAACATTGTTTAAAATACCCATTTAAAAGAGAGCGTCTTAGATGTTTGAAATAAGATTAAAGATATTTCTTCTTTTTGTACCAGGAACTCAATGTAATTAATATATTTAATAAACTTATCTACAAGATCCAAAAAAAGCTCTTTTCAGAAACTAGAACCCTCGAGAGGCATATTAACATCACAATCCGAATACCGAGAAAAGTCTTACACGAGAAACAGACTGTTGCAGCTCGAGATCATTTAATTTTAGAAAATTTAAAAATCAGCAGCCAAAAACGGGTTGTCACGCACTTGTCAGGTAACAACACGCATAAAAACGCTTAAAAAACTAAGAAAATTTGTTGATTTCGAAAAAGAGCACTTGAAGCCCTCTGCAAAAGCTTAGTAGCCTCTTGCTTAAACAAGGATTGTTGAAATCGAATTCCTCGCAAGCTGCAATGCTTCGCATTTGCGCGTTTTATTTCAAAAAACAATTTGCTATTATGCAGATGAAAATTTTCCAAAGTCTCAACCCTGAAATTCCAATTCATAAATTTTTTCTAAAAAAAATATTTCAAAATCATTTAGTTTGAAAATAAATAAAAACGAAAACAGCAATAATCCAAACAATAGGCTAAGCTTCATACAACCTCACTCACGATCAATGAAAAATTGAATAGAAATAGTACAAACCTCTGAAAAAAAGTTTCTCGAAAGAAGTGCTTTAACGCTGCTTCACATGATTTTCTGTATAACTCAAGTTAAACAAGAAAAAATATAAAAACAAAATTTTAAAAAGGGCCATTTTTGAATGTAAATCAAAAACTCTACCAAAAAAGGGCTTAAATATTGTTAACGTTGGTATCATATCGAACAAATTTCAGAAATTAACCGTATAAACATCATCTAAATTTGGTCGATATCTTGTGAAGAAAACGATTACTTTCTTCTGTAAATTTCGAAACAAGTCAATCATTCTGTAATCTTTTCGAAAATTTGAACGAACTATGATAATAAATTGGCTTTTAAAAACAGGCAAAACTGAGGATATGGAGACAAATGGAAAAGAAAATTAATTTTCACAAAGAGCTAAATATGAAAAAAATATTTTGCGATTAATAGGGTATTATAATGACAAATACCTTTTTTCCAATTTGCACAGAGGCAAATCTGCAGTTTGCAAAGAAAAACGATTAAATATCAAGGAATAGCTCTGAATCGTTTTGAAGTAATCTAAAAAAGAGCTATAAATAAAACTTTTTATATGTATCGTTATCAAACCCCAGACATTGAGATTAAAGATCTCAGGTCCTGGCATCTGCAGCCTAGTCGCTTGACAATCTACAAACACTTGCCATAAAACAGATACACCAGATTTTATTAATTTGCCAGTGCTAAACATAAAACTTTGAATGTTCCAGAGTTGAAACCTTGATTTGGAAATTATGGCTCTAACTTCCTCGCATCTGCGCCATGATTGTTGTTAAATCTGTAAGCAGTAGCTCCTAATGCAGATACAAGCAGACACAACAGATTCTATCTAACTACCATTTCTATGCAGTAAAACTGCAACCAAATGAACAACTTTATTTGCGATTTGGGCGAGAAAATAATGGACTCGTAAAATAACACTGCGCTCGCCATCTGCTTGCATTAAAACAAAAAGATATCTTGAGGGTGAAACGTGATCAAATTAGTACTTTTCCGAGAACAATTAAGCGCTCCTTACGACTCAAGTATCATAGATAGGAGCAGAAAACGTGCATAATTTAAATCACTAAATTGGCAAAACGCCAGTTTTCAAACCTCCAAAATTTCGAAAGATGTTGGCAGATGAAGTATGTAATTGCGTTTAAGCTCAGGGCGTCGCTGTTTTCAAAGGAAATGAACAATAACTTCGATAAGAGTTGCATCAAATTGTGCAAATTGCATTAGAAAAATAAATTTTGCTAAAAAAAAAACAACTTGTTCGTCTAACTCACGTTTGGAATTAGCCAAGAAAGTAAGTATTTTCATGATTTCGTATTTAGTCGGAATTTCATGAAGCAAACTTTTTGCGTTAAAACAGTTTGATTTTGGGTAACTTTTTGTCTATATATATTTTTCTTAGGTTAATAGAATTTGGTTAAAACGCATCATGTTTATTATAATTTGGTAGCACTATCCAGACTTCTAAACGTTTATTGAACTTGTCAACGGTTTTTGCAAAGGAACAGACCTAAGATTACAAAAAAAAATTCTAGAAAATCTACGGAAGATACACTGATGGTCGATTACTCGGTTCTGTTGAATCTATTTGATAAATTTTTATGTAAAGAAAACAGAAACAAACTGTGTGGATGAACTAATGACAGTTTTCAGATAAATATCATAAACAGTTAATCTTCATCAAAACAAGTTTTCAGAACGCAACTTATAACTAAACAGTCTTGCATCGATAACTGAAAATAGGATCTCATTTCATTCCAAAACGTTTCATAACTTTTTTGCCTCAATGTTGCCAATTCTATTAGTTGAAGACCATCCAAACTTTTCAACTTTGTGCCATCTTGTACGCCTTTGTCAGCTAGCCATTCTTGAACCATTTCCGATGTCCATTTTTTCACAGGGACTGAGTAACAACTTTTCTGCTTGTCCATTTCGTGATCGCCATCCGATTCGTGTGCAGTGCTCTTCAACCAGGGGCAAAAGTTTTCTTCGGCATCTTGCGTTTTATTTTCATTTTGGACGCCTGAAGACACTTTTTGTTCATACTTGGCGATGTATTGCAACTCTTCACTCACAAGTTTGTCGAAGTTTTCAAGTCGCATTGTATTAAAAATACGAGTAGTCTGAAATAATGGGGTTTCCAGGACATAATATTTTAACCATTTCGTTAATTTCTAATGAAGGAAGTTTTTTCCAACTATTGTCACCAAAATGACTGCCGCAAAACTGATATCGTAATTTCGTAATATCAATTTCATTTTAACCCGTAATAGATATTATGTTAAACAAGTAGACAGGATTTATGATTTTTTTTAAAAAAGGATTCTAGAATGTTCTAGACTGAATGATTCTTAGACTTTCTGATCTAAATTTTTCTAAACGCTGCGCTCCACGGCGTCTTAATCATTAGACCTTATGCTGAAAACATGTGATTCAATTAATAGATACTAGCAAGAGTGTATCCAATGATCAATCAGCTCGCAAAAATTAAATGATCTTGTGATCGGGCTATTCAGTTTAAATCACATCATACAATGATTTGAAAAAATATAAATTTCATAGACCGAATTTATGAGCAAAAAAACAGAGTTTTTGTTGGCAAACTAATCAAGCTATGAAACTTTTTAAGTTCCAAAAAAGTTCCAACTAATCAATCTTTGAAACTTTTTAAGTTACATGACGAGAGTCAGTTTAAGCTTTTCAACTGGACCCATTCAACCGATAAAACTTAACAAATTTCAAACCGGTTCGCAAAGTTTTTTCAAGCAACCTGAAGTTGCAACGTTTATGCAACGTTTAATTAGGTCAAAAGATCAAAAGACTTCAAGAAGTTTTCCATAAAGCAAATCGGTCCGCAGAAAAACCAAGTGTTTTTGTAGCAAGATATGCAAGCTATGAAATTTCGAAATAAATCAAGTCATTTCAGATAAAAAAGTAGTCGAAAAAATTTTTTTCAGCAAGCTATGAAACTTTCTAAATGAATTTCTATCTTTCTAAATATTTCATTGAGAAATTGGATGCGAAAAGCTCAATTTATTCCATTGAAACCATTCAAATGACGAAAGCTTCAATTAAAGTTTTTTAGGCAATGAAACTTGAAACATTTAAGGTTATTCCTTGGAGCGAATTGGATAGTTAAAAGTTCAAGTTTTTCAAACGCAAACTATTCAAGTTTCTAAATAATTTAGATTATGAAATTTTTTTAACGTTAAGCTCAATGGGCGCTCTTAAACATTGCACCTTATGGCAGCTAAAACACGGCATTATTTTTTTGTCATTCGTTTAATAAATAAGATAATGTGTCAAATGAGAAGCCATAAGAGCCAGAGCTTTACGATTGCTACCATATTAAATCATAGATACCGCGACAACTTATGAAACATTATGCCCTGGAACCTGGAATGTGAACTCGACCCAGTCCTCTGGCAAATACTCTTCCTCTGTAGCGACCAGAAGGAAGCTTTTCCTTTCAGTCAGTGAAAAGTAGGACAGAAGATGAGTGTAGCAGTCCATGTCTTCAGTCTTGTAGACACAGTCATGGGGAAGTTGGTGCATAGACGTTCGCAGAAATACCAACAACACCTGAAGATGAAGACCTTACTTTAAAACCAAGTTGCGAGTTGATTGTTACGAGAAACAATTTGTCTAGAAGTGAGTATCTTCCTTCTTCCTTTTAAAAAACAGTTTTCAGGCAAAGAAAATCACTCAAAGCAGAAGTGAAAAAAGGGTCTGAAAAAACTTTTACATCTACCATTTTGATTATACGAGCTCTCCGCAAAACCCAAAAACAGTCCATTTCAAAAGTTTCAACCGATTCAAGTGACTTTTGAGGAAAATAACCTTTTACAGCTTTTCTGGATGGCTTAATATCTTAAAAAATACAACATATTTTACGAAGAATTTTTTTCAAACATACTGAAGCCAGCTTTTCCCGGAAAATAATATTGAATAAACCTGATACAATGCTGCGGTGATCAAAACGTAACCAGATTTTCTTCAGATTTTATTGCCTTTTTCCTTAAGAAAATAAAAATTCGCTTTGGAAACACTCACATCATACTGTGCGGACAAAATGTCCCTGTTGCCAACGGTCGATCCAAATTTCTCTCGCAGCTCCTTGAAGCTCATCAGAGAGAAGCCTTGCTCACTCAAAGCGTCCACAATCACTCTTTCGTTTTTGCCTATAGGCCCACAGGCAGTGTACATAATTCTCAGTTTCCCGCCAGTTTTATCTGATGTATTTTCAGCTGAATTCTTGTTTTTCAAACTGTCGATTTTCTCTCCGATTAGCTTGAGTTTGGAGTTGATTCCATCGCAGTCTCTGCCGTAGAGTGTGTAGAAAGTTGACCTGAGAAAGTTCAAACTGACCTTGTGTCCATAACCTGATAGTCTTCCCCTCAATTCTGATTGCCGAGTTTTTCCAAACGATCCCCCATGCGTTCTATTCGTTAGATATTATTTTTGGTTAACCAAAAGAAACCTCAAATTTTTCTTAAGGCGCCTTAAGCGCCAACATACGTAAAAATGTAGGGGGAAGGGAGCGCGCGCCGAAAAAATGCGATATCTTTGGTTAAGACTTCTAAAAAAACTTACCCACAGCGCACAAACTTTTGGCAAAATAAGGAAAATTAATCTGGTCGATCTAAAAAAGGTCGACAAATCTTCAAGATTGTTTTGAAAAACCACCCCTGTGAAAAAATTCTTATGCACGCCACTGGTTCTAAAACAACTGATGAGCTCAACGTTTGAAATCATTTGCACTAAAAGTCTTCGCACGGTGAACACGAGAAAAACATCACAACATTTGAACCTGATATGGATAAAAAAACTCTAAGAAGCATTTAATTGGTCACTTTATCTAAGCCTGCTATAGCTGACGGAGGTAGTTTCCGAGCAGAATTTTTTTGCTCGATATCCAATTTAATTTCAATTAGAATCTTGAAAAAAAAATTTGAAAAAAGTAGGTTGTTCTCGACTTATGTTTCGATTTTCTTGACCAATATTAGGTATTTTTCGACTGCTCGACCTATGTTTCGACTTTCTCGGCCAAAACTGGGTATGTTTCGACTTTCTCGACCTATGTTTTGACTTTCTCGACCTATGTTTCGACTTTCTCGACCTATGTTTCGACTTTCTCGGCCAAAATTGGATATGTTTCGACTTTCTCGACCTATGTTTCGACTTTCTCGACCTATGTTTCGACTTTCTCGGCCAAAATAGGGTATGTTTCGACTTTCTCGACCTATGTTTCGACTTTCTCGACATATGTTTTGAATTTCTCGGCCAAAATTGGGTATGTTTTGACTTTCTCGACCTAGGTTTCGACTTTTTCAAACTATGTTTCGACTTTCTCGGCCAAAATTGGGTATGTTTTGACTTTTTTGACCTATTTTTCGACTTTCTCGACCTATGTTTTGAATTTCTCGACCCATGTTTTGGCTTTTTCGACTTATGTTTCGACTTTTTCGGCCAAAATTGGGTATTTTTCGACTTTCTCGACCTCTGTTTCGACTTTCTCGACCTATCTTTCAACTTTCTCGGTCAAAATTGGGTACTTTTCGTCTTTCTCGACCTATGTTTCGATTTTCTCGGCCAAAATTGGGTATGTTTCGACTTTCTCGACCTATGTTTTGACTTTCTCGAACTATGTTTCGACTTTCTCGGAAAAAATTGGGTATGTTTCGACTTTCTTGACATATGTTTCGACTTTCTCGACCTATGTTTCGACTTTCTCTACCTATTTCGACTTTCTCGGCCAAAATAGGGTATGTTTCGACTTTCTCGACCTATGTTTCGGCTTTCTCGACCTATGTTTTGACTGTCTCGGTCAAAATTGGGTATGTTTCGACTTTCTCGACCTATGTTTCGACTTTTTCAACCTATTTTTCGACTTTCTCGACCTATGTTTTGACTTTCTCGACCCATGTTTTGACTTTCTCAACTTATCTTTCGACTTTCTCGGCCAAAAATGGGTATGTTTCGAATTTCTCGACCTATGTTTCGACTTTCTCGACCTATCTTTCGACTTTCTCGGTCAAAATTGGGTATGTTTCGACTTTCTCGACCTATGTTTCGACTTTCTCGACATATGTTTTGACTTTCTCGGCCAAAATTGGGTATGTTTTGACTTTCTTGACCTAGGTTTCGACTTTTTCAAACTACGTTTCGACTTTCTCGGCCAAAACTGGGTATGTTTTGACTTTTTTGACCTATTTTTCGACTTTCTCGACCTATGTTTTGAATTTCTCGACCCATGTTTTGACTTTTTCGACTTATGTTTCGACTTTCTCGGCCAAAATTGGGTATTTTTCGACTTTCTCGACCTCTGTTTCGACTTTCTCGACCTATCTTTCAACTTTCTCGGTCAAAATTGAGTATTTTTCGTCTTTCTCGGCCTATGTTTCGATTTTCTCGGCCAAAATTGGGTATGTTTCGACTTCCTCGACCTATGTTTTGACTTTCTCAACTTATGTTTCAACTTTCTCGGCCAAAAATGGGTATGTTTCGAATTTCTCGACCTATGTTTCGACTTTCTCGACCTATCTTTCGACTTTCTCGGTCAAAATTGGGGATGTTTCGACTTTCTCGACCTATGTTTCGACTTTCTCGACATATGTTTTGACTTTCTCGGCCAAAATTGGGTATGTTTTGACTTTCTCGACCTAGGTTTCGACTTTTTCAAACTATGTTTCGACTTTCTCGGCCAAAATTGGGTATGTTTTGAATTTTTTGACCTATTTTTCGACTTTCTCGACCTATGTTTTGAATTTCTCGACCCATGTTTTGAATTTTTCGACTTATGTTTCGACTTTCTCGGCCAAAATTGGGTATTTTTCTACTTTCTCGACCTCTGTTTCGACTTTCTCGACCTATCTTTCGACTTTCTCGGTCAAAATTGGGTATTTTTCGTCTTTCTCGACCTATGTTTCGAATTTCTCGGCCAAAATTGGGTATGTTTCGACTTTCTCGACCTATGTTTTGACTTTCTCGAACTATGTTTCGACTTTCTCGGAAAAAATTGGGTATGTTTCGACTTTATTGACATATGTTTCGACTTTCTCGACCTATGTTTCGACTTTCTCTACCTGTTTCGACTTTCTCGGCCAAAATTGGGTATGTTTCGACTTTCTCCACCTATGTTTCGGCTTTCTCGACCTATGTTTTGACTGTCTCGGTCAAAATTGGGTATGTTTCGACATTCTCGACCTATGTTTTGACTTTTTCGACCTATTTTTCGACTTTCTCGACCTATGTTTTGACTTTCTCGACCCATGTTTTGACTTTCTCAACTTATGTTTCGACTTTCTCGGCCAAAAATGGGTATGTTTCCAATTTCTCGACCTATGTTTCGACTTTCTCGACCTATCTTTCGACCTTCTTGGTCAAAATTGGGTATGTTTCGACTTTCTCGACCTATGTTTTGACATTTTCGACCTATTTTTTGACTTTCTCGACCTATGTTTTGACTTTCTCGACCCATGTTTTGACTTTCTCGACTTATGTTTTGACTTTCTGGGCCAAAATTGGGTATGTTTCGACTTTCTCGACCTATGTTTCGACTTTCTCGACCTATCTTTCGACTTTCTCCGCCAAAATTGGGTATGTTTCGACTTTCTCGACCTATGTTTCGACTTTCTCGACATATGTTTTGACTTTCTCGGCCAAAATTGGGTATGTTTTGATTTTCTCGACCTATGTTTCGAATTTTTCAAACTATGTTTCGACTTTCTCGGCCAAAATTGGGTATTTTTTGACTTTTTCGACCTATTTTTCGACTTTCTCGACCTATGTTTTGACTTTCTTGACCCATATTTTGACTTTCTCGACTTATGTTTCGACTTTCTCGGCCAAAAATGGGTATGTTTCGACTTTCTTGACCTATGTTTCGACTTTCTCGACCTATCTTTCGACTTTCTCGGTCAAAATTGGGTTTTTTTCGTCTTTCTCGACCTATGTTTTGACTTTCTCGAACTATGTTTTGACTTTATCGGAAAAAATTGGGTATGTTTCGACTTTCTTGATCTATGTTTCGACTTTCTCGACCTATGTTTTGACTTTCTCTACCTATGTTTCGACTTTCTCGGCCAAAATTGGGTATGTTTCGACTTTCTTGACATAATTTCTGACTTTATCGGCCAAAATTGGGTATGCTTCGACTTTCTCGACCTATGTTTTGACTTTTTCGACCTATTTTCGACTTTCTCGACCTATGTTTTGACTTTCTCGACCCATGTTTTGACTTTGTCGACTTATGTTTTGACTTTCTCGGCCAAAATTGGGCATGTTTCGACTTTCTCGACCTATGTTTCGACTTTCTCGACCTATCTTTCGACTTTCTCGGTCAAAATTGGGTATGTTTTGAATTTTTTGACCTATTTTTCGACTTTCTCGACCTATGTTTTGAATTTCTCGACCCATGTTTTGACTTTTTCGACTTATGTTTCGACTTTCTCGGCCAAAATTGGGTATTTTTCTACTTTCTCGACCTCTGTTTCGACTTTCTCGACCTATCTTTCGACTTTCTCGGTCAAAATTGGGTATTTTTCGTCTTTCTCCACCTATGTTTCGGCTTTCTCGACCTATGTTTTGACTGTCTCGGTCAAAATTGGGTATGTTTCGACATTCTCGACCTATGTTTTGACTTTTTCGACCTATTTTTCGACTTTCTCGACCTATGTTTCGACTTTCTCGACCTATGTTTTGACTTTCTCTACCTATGTTTCGACTTTCTCGGCCAAAATTGGGTATGTTTCGACTTTCTTGACATAATTTCTGACTTTATCGGCCAAAATTGGGTATGCTTCGACTTTCTCGACCTATGTTTTGACTTTTTCGACCTATTTTCGACTTTCTCGACCTATGTTTCGACTTTCTCGACCTATGTTTTGACTTTCTCTACCTATGTTTCGACTTTCTCGGCCAAAATTGGGTATGTTTCGACTTTCTTGACATAATTTCTGACTTTATCGGCCAAAATTGGGTATGCTTCGACTTTCTCGACCTATGTTTTGACTTTTTCGACCTATTTTCGACTTTCTCGACCTATGTTTTGACTTTCTCGACCCATGTTTTGACTTTGTCGACTTATGTTTTGACTTTCTCGGCCAAAATTGGGTATGTTTTGACTTTCTCGACCTAGGTTTCGACTTTTTCAAACTATGTTTCGACTTTCTCGGCCAAAATTGGGTATGTTTTGAATTTTTTGACCTATTTTTCGACTTTCTCGACCTATGTTTTGAATTTCTCGACCCATGTTTTGACTTTTTCGACTTATGTTTCGACTTTCTCGGCCAAAATTGGGTATTTTTCTACTTTCTCGACCTCTGTTTCGACTTTCTCGACCTATCT